TATTTCTCCATATAAAAGTAAATATCGAGCATACTTTATATGGGAGAAAATGCTCAACAAACAAAATAGATTTTGTTCCTGCGTTATATGAAAGAAAATGGTCAACACCCTCGACAAAAAAAGTTCTCAAAAATCAACGGCAATTTTAGCGACTTTAAACCTGGCCTTGTTAGACTAAATTTAATGGGCTAAAAAACTGCATACCCAATTTTCTACATTCTGATTAAAAAGTTTGATTAATTTGTATGCAAATTTTTTTTAATTTTAAGTACTTTGTGCAATCTTTGAAACATCCACATATGTGGTTTCTGGTATGCCGGCATAATGCTCGCATGATGAAATTATGCAAGGTGCTTAAGCAAATAAACAGTAAAATCTGCCTCACAAGGGTATAAACAACAGAAATAAAAAAAAATTTAATATGCGATTGTAAACGATTGGAAATTAATCAAAGATTTATACAGTAGTTGTAAATCCATACTTGTTTAGAAGTGAGGTAGCCTAGTACTATTTTACAGCTGGTAAAATGCACTGTTTTCGAAAAGGAAACATTGACTAATGACGTTTTCTTTTCTACAAAAAATGTTGCCTTCTCGTTGCCCTCCTTTTGCTGTTTGAGCGAAACAGCAATGAGAAGGTAAAATTTTTTGGTAGAAACGAAAACGCCATTAGTTAAAGGAGCCAGTCCATGTCCAACACCTTGTAAAATTCCATCATAATACATATGTACAGAAGGACAGTTCGGGTCTGCGATATTGTGAAGTGATAAAAAAAAACACTTTCACACTGCACTTACTTCGCTGTGCATTTTTAACATTTCACTTCACTTCACGATAGATAATGCAGAACGGGAATTGACCCCCTGTTATGTACATATATGCAAGTGTTGCAAATAAGCCAAAACATGCATACGTACCATCAATGCTTTCAAGTGTCAAATCTTTGTACAGGCTCGCCTTGAATGCACCGATTATTGAATGCACCCTTTCAAAGTGCACCCATGTTGAAGGTGACCCACCAGAAGGACCCATTTCTGCCTTTTCTTTCCTAGGAGTTTGAATTCAAAAATTATATTGCATTTTATTCTTATATCAACCTACCTGTATCCCTGTGAAAAGTTTTGCAGCTTCACTTGCACGTCTCTTGAGCTGTGATTGTATCCAAGCTTGGAGAGGTCAGCCGCCATCTCCGCGTAAACTTGAGCATTCTTCCTCAGCCCACGGAGCTCCTCCACGCGCTCCTCCCACAGCTCAAGCACAGCGACCTCGGCCCCCCTCACTCCATCCCATTCTTTTTCTTTTCGGTTTTGGTTCTACAATGAATAAAAATAAAAAGGTGATTATTTTAACTATATTGTTATTGAAAATTTGTTTAAATTTACTCACGATCAATTTTATCCGCCATTCTGGTTAATTTTGTTTAATAATATTGAAATGTCATTTCGTTTTCTTGATATTTCGTTTTCATGACGTTTCGTTTTCTCATCAAACATACCGGCTGCATTTCTTTATTCATTCTGAACGTTTGGAATAAACTTTTTTTGTTTATTTATTCTTTAGAATGTTCTCGATGATACGTTGACGTGTACTTCAAACGCATTCTGTTTATTCCGGCTGTGAAATGGGGTTATCCGGAATGTATAAAGAAACGCAGCCACCGTCTCCTCTCATAACATAAACATACTTCACAGGGTTGCGTAGAGAATCGGACACAAATTAATTGTCAATTAAGTATTAATTGGCAATTAATAAATTGAAATTTTGTATGGCAAATTGGGTAACAATTAAGGCTTTAATTGGTGAAAAGGTTCTTAATTGCCAATTAGGTGCCTGTTTGAACATAGTCTAACACTATTTCTTGTGTTATTCAACCAATTACTTAAAAACACGAATAATTGCAGTTCCCTGGTATATACATATATATATATGCTCCACCCCTAGAAAAGTGTGTTAATAATGTTCACATAGTTAATTGCTAAGTATTTAATATGTATGTGTATATGAATGGAAAGCCCTGTTGATGTTGATGATGAGAACAAATAAAGTTTTATTTGAAATAAAAGAAAGTTTTATAATTACTTATTTACTTTGATAATAAGAATTTTAAACATAAATGTCCGCAATTATATGAATTATAGCTTTGCTGTTTATTATAGTTATATTTAATGTTTTTTCCTAAATACTTTATTATTTGCTTAGGAGGCTGTAAGTTTCCAAAGCTATCGAAGTGATCAATCTCATTATCGTTTTTCCAGTAAACTACCCAATGCGTTCCCGCACCCTTTGAACTATTCAAATTTATTATTCCACATTCTCTCTTAAATGGTTTACGGGCTAAAGTGTCACACATGAATACCCCTCTAAAAATTGGAATAAATTTTGAATACTTCTTTAAGTCTACATCAGTAAGAGGTCTTCTGGGTAGCTTCATTAAGAGTTTTTTTGATATGGTTTTAAATATAATCCGAATCCCTTTTTATAAGGCTTTAAAAACTTTCTTTTTCCCATTGAAATAGCTTCCATTGTATTATTATGACGTTTCGCCTCCAATAACTGCTCCTTTCCAGTTTTTATAGCATTGATTGTTTTAATAATTCCTGCAGTACCGCCAGATGCTACGAATAAAGGCGCTAATGGGAGAAATCCTCCAGATTTAGGTAATGGTATTACACGTGGTGCTTTTATTATAGATTTTTTTCCTCTAAAAATATTATTTACCTTTCGTGAAATTTTTATTGCATCTTTTAAGTTATCACTTTTCTTTAAATTTTGTTTAGCTCTTTTTAAAGCATGTTTGAAGAGATGATAACCAGTTTTTCCTCCCACTTTCTTAGCTTTACTATAAATATTCCCATACCGAATTTCGTTTTTGTCTTCATTATATTTGTAACTAACCAAGCATTTGTTTTCTCATTTGTTTTCTCATTAAGATTGCTATCCTTCGCTTTAACTCTTTCCCAAGCCTTCTCAATTAATTTTTTATCAGCAATATGTCGATTCTCTAAATCTTTATTATATAAATATGATATATCATGTTCTCTACAAGCGGCGTCTAGTAGATTAATACCTCGATCTCCTCTTACTAAACGTTTCTCTAGTTTCGTTCCAGGTCCACAAGATTGATAACTAGGCAAATGAAGTTCAGCAGGAAGCTTATTAATTATATTATTTATAAAACCTTTTCCGACGACTGACGATTTATGACTAAACCTTTTTTCATAAATAACTCTCATATTTAGGCCTTTTCATATTAATAGTTTAAATATAAGTAATTAAAAGTATAAAAATAATTTGTTTATATATATTTATATTAGTATTCAAAATGCGGTTTGTGAAGCAACGTAATACCCAAAATATTAAAAATGTTGACTTGAGATTTAATAAAGTAAATAAAGTTCGACATAGCTCATTATTACCAAACTCAATTCGAGCTCTTATTGTTGGACCATCAAACTGTGGGAAGACAAATGTAATGATTAGCCTCATTGAAAGTCCAAATGGGTTAAAATTCAAAAACATCTAATTATATTCGAAATCTTTACATCAATCAAAATATAAATACTTAAAACATCTAATAAACCCTATTAAGGAGATTAATATTTCAACATTTTCAAATAATGATGATGTGCTATCACCTGACAACGCAAAAGCAAATTCTATATTTATATTTGCTGATATAGCTTGCGAAAAAACAAAATCATGTTCGATCCTATTTTTGTATGGGTCGTCATAAAGAGATTGATAGTTTTTATTTATGTCAGACTTTTACTCGTATTCCAAAACCTTAATTCGAGATAATGCAAATTTAATTATCGTATTCAAACAAGATGAAAGGAATATTAAACATATCTATAATGATCATGTTGGAGCTGATATGTCCTTTAAGACTTTTTGCATTTTAAATGCATAAATGTTGGAAAGAAAAATATGGATTTCTGGTTATAAGTAAAGATGATTCTATCAACAATGGTCGATATAGAAAAGGATTTGACGTCTTTATAACCTTACTAGCAGACCCGGCGAACTTCGTTCCGCCCAAAATTTTTATATATTTTATTGAAATTTTTTGGTCCAACATTTTCACCAACAATTCACGTTTACGATTTTCATTGGCACATTTGTCTGCTAAGATTAAGGTATGGTGGTCATTTGCCGCTTTAAATAACCTAAGGAAAGTGTTATATCCCTTCTTGAAATTCTCCAGTTGTGCGGCATTTCATAGCACGGTTATTCGCAAAGCGAAATACATTTTTTCCTCTTCACTCCCTGGCGGCAACAATGACCCGGTTCTATAGTGAATGTCCTAGAAGCTTTACAGTATAGTAGGTGGCAATTTCAAAATGG